TATTCTCATCTTTGGGCGCCGGCACCCTAATATCAAAACTGAATCATGGGTGACCAACTTTTTATCAATCACCTAGAATACCTTGTGGAGTCAAATAGTCTTTTTGTAATTTCAATCGCGTATACCACAGGAAATACTCCAAGGTCTGTTTCTACTTCGCTTTAAACCATTTTTTACAATTCAAATTAGTTTAAAAGTAAAAGTGGCCGAGTGACCCAACTATAGTACAAATTTTATATTTTCTTCTACTTGACCTTTTCACATGCATAAAAAGAATGCAACATTAATATATTTGTTATCTTAAATATAACTATTTGCAAGCAAGTTAGATTTTACCCGAATCGCATGTTTTTATAAGATAAATATTGTACCTAAGATTTTCCGCTTATCTCGAGAGCAACACATTTCACTGCACCTCTTGGCTTTTGCCTCATTATTTAAATTATATTGTTGTACCTATATGGCAAGGTTTGTGAGTTAATTTTCCACAAAGGACTTTTTTCTTGTATATCGGCCATTGACTGTGAACAATTGGGTATTTATATGATTTAATACAACTGTAGTTTTTTAATACCACAAAAAACAAATCATAAATTCTAAAATGATGGAATAACTTATATATCCAAATCCCATCGTGTAGCATCCTCATCGAGTCTGCACATCATACGCTCAAAAAACATAATCCATCCAAAAGCACAGATGGTGGGTGTGGCTTTCGGCACACCAAAGACGATGCGGAGATATCAAATAAGATTAAATCGATAAGATTCCATATTGGTGACAACTGATGCTAGTACCTACGTACATGTTAGTGCGATCATTACATTAATCAAATAAATTATTTGATTAATGTAATGATGAAACACTTGTGGACGCCGAGTGGTCGAAATTCGACGACAATTAATTTATATTTTAAGTTAGAACAATATTAATCTATTGTCAAATACAATACACAACAAACAAGAGTAGACAGATTGATTTTATAGACGACGCACATATTAACAGAGCATATGCAAAATTTAATTCTAAATCAGAATGTAGTACGTACTTGTGAGCTCTTTTTTTTTTTTTCAAAGATTAGTTTTAATTTTTTCAAACATTATAATAACTTTCTAACAATATACATTAACCTATTGACGAGCACTAAAACTTTTCGCTGACGCATAAGTCCTAAACCGCTTATCAATAAGATGACCACTCTTAGCGAGATAAACAAACAATATTTGAATTGATATTTTTCTGGTTATTTCTTGTCAAAATAAAATAAAATATTTCTTGTCAAAATAATATTAAATTTTAAATTATGGAATGCTCAACTTAACATTATGTCCAAGTATGTACTTCGTCTAAAAATCATTCTGTATATGCGTGTGTGCTTTAAATTCATGGTAGTGTGGGTAATGTTTTCTATATTGATTTAATATACTTTTTATGCATAATTAAAAAAAATATTAGCAATGTGCACTCCTTCTTTATAAAAACAATGGTGGTAAATTTCATACTCCTTCGTCCGCACAATTTTTGTAAAAAGGGGTACAAAGTTTTTGCTTCACGTATTAATATATAAGATTAGCAATTATACAATAACAACTTGTGAAATAGTTACATTTTTTAAACTAGTGTCAATAAATAAATAGGCCTGTTATGCGGCCTACCATGTATTTCATGTTAAGTTTTCAACCGACTTCAAAAAAGGAGGAGGTTTTCAATTCGGATGTTTTATTTTTTATATTTGTTTCCACAGAACTTAATTATTAAAGTTCCTTGCATTGATTCGGTTAAGCTCTCGTGTGGTTCCATATTAATTTCATAGCTATTGGACCTTAGATTGCAGAGATACAACAGGTCCTTAATACTCCTCAAAATTAAATAGAAAGTGCATAGTGACATATTTGAAAATTGTGTTAATCTTAGTCTAGTTTGTTATTTATAATTTAAATTTTTGGTATGAACTGATCGGTAAATTTAAATTTTAACTGTGGTAGGGCCACGCAATGCTGTTCAATGTTGCACGAATGAGGAGGTTCGTCCGGGTAACTACCACGACCCCAAAGAAGACCGACGTAAAGTAGAAATGTTACACTTCTGCGTTTCGTCTGGTGAGTGCGGTAGCCCAAGGCCCACTTTATTTAAAGTTGGCAACGCATTTGCGACCCTATGAGTGTTAATGTCCATGGGCGGCGCTTATCACTTAACATCAGGTGAACCGCCAGCTCGTTTGCCACTAACGCCCGGTTTCTGAAACACTGATCATCGTAGATGTCGACTAACCAGCTGTGAAATTGCTTTTCTGATGTCATTTGCGATGCCAAAAGGATGGTTAAACTCTATGAATTGATCATTCCGATCATTAAGAATGATCATTCTTGTCAATTCAAAGAATTTAACAATCCTTCGGTAACTAAAATGAAATTTGATAAGCCATTTGACAGCTGATTAGTTGACATCTACGATAATCAGTGTTTCAGAAACCGGGCGTTAGTCACATAAAAAAAATCGTACTGAGTACATACCTATTTAGTTTCATGCCTTAGTTACATATTCTTTTAATAGTTAAAATATCTGTTTGTTGAAACTTAATAAATATACATTCATTCATTCAAATTGCTTTTGTTTTTTGTTAATAACAATTTGAATTGTACATTTTTGTTGATAAATGAATAAAAATTCTGTGCTGCGGGATTCGAACCTGCGTTTTCTGCGGTTTCGCGCTCAGACGTTGTACCAAAATCTTGATATCTATCTACATTCGTTCTATGGCATGCCGCAGCGCCGAGAGTTCATTTCTCTACAAATATTTACATTTTAAAGTTTCATCTTGAGTGCAGAGAGTAGCAATAAAATAAAAATTAATCTTTACTTAAAAATTAGTCTTAGGTTTACTATGTTCCTTCAATAACATTGTTTCATGTATAAGAGTTCTAACGATTTTACTCTGATCCTAATATTTTAACTATTACGGAACTTGAATATTAACAACTATTATAACGACAAGCAACACTAATGGTTATATCAGCGTCCAGGAACGCGGCCGAAATCCAAGTGACCACTCCTCCATGCGACCATGTGTCCCTTGGCTCAAGTAGATAACGTCATATCCGGTAAACAGTGTTGCCAGCGCCAACATTCGGCCGTCCTGCATCACGCCTTCGTCCTCGAAGGGCGTTGTAGTCTGGTACAAGTAACCTTCATAAAATTAACACCTTACCCTGTGACTTATCTCCCTCAACTAGAATGAATATCGCCACGTTCAGAACACCTTACAATGTGGCTTATCCCTCAACTGGGATGCATATCGCCACGTTCAAATACTTATCCTGTGGCTTATCCCTCACAACTGGGATGTTTATCGCCACGTTCGAAACACTTACGCTGTAGCTTATCCCTCAACTGGGATGCATATCGCCACGTTCAAGCCTTAAATTTTCCAACAACTAAATGCTCGGTAGCTTAACCGGGTAAACCAGTAGTGTATCGCTATTTTACATTTTCTCAAATATGATAAGTAATTAATTAACTGGAAGGTACTCACCAAAACTTTCGTTACATTTAACCAAAAGATTTCTCACCATTACGTATAGTAAGTATAAAACACACTGTTTTATTTTACGAGGGTAGGTACAAAAGGAGAAAATATGTCGCCGATTGTTTGAACAGCCAATGCGAGTTTTCGTATTGAATCCCACTTCTGATATAAGAGTTCTAACGATTTTACCCTGATCCTAATATTTTAACTATTACAGAACTTAAATATTAACAACTATTATTACGACAAGCAGCACTAGTGGTTATATCACCGTACAGGAACGCGGCCCAAATCCAAGTGACCACTCCTCCATGCGACCATGTGTCCCTTGGCTCAAGTAGATAACGTCATATCCGGTAAACAGTGTTGCCAGCGCCAACACATGGATAACATTTGACATGTTTAAAGAGCTCTTTCAGTAGAAGACTAATGTTAATTTTTCTATGGTAGAGCCTACCAAGCAGTGACACTTGCTGTTGGAAAAATGAGCATAGCATGCTAATTAACATAATTATAACAAACATTTCTATTTTGAATCTTTGTGAAAACATGTATCTCTAAAATGGTATTTTATATTTTTCCCGTCAAGGTTTTGATGACTCATAAAAAACAAAAGAAATTTATTTTGGTGTACCCACCTGTACTATAACACATCATTGAGATAGTATTTTGCTTCAATATTATATTGTACTGTCATTTGTAACATTTGTGATAAACTGGTATAAATAACATTAACCCTTTAAACTTGTGATAACACAATTTTGTATGAGTATAAAACTTAACAAAATGCACCAAGTGTCTCTTATATTTTAAAATGTTATTTCTATATTGTTATTGTAAAATATTATTACTATGAATTGTTGATAAATTGATACTCAATTATTTTGATGACCAAATGTTGAGTTGCAATTGTTGATTGTTATGTATTACTTTAACCCATTGTTGGAAAAATATGATTTAAATGATTTTTTGTAATTTTAAGATACCCCTCTTAAATTTAGAACAATTAAAACTATTACTAATTTAAAACTGATAGACTTTAAGTTATAGTAAAACAAATATTAATATAATCAAAAACAATATTTTATTGATCACTGACAATGTTTTGTTCTACTTCATAGATATACTTGCCATTCACTATTACTTGAACTAATACAGCCTTACTCTAGGAATGTGTTATCATTTTCTTGCCACATCAGTCTTGTTCAAAACATTGAGTAATTGCAATACAGTTATTTTTAACAGATTTTAAAATGTACATTTATCCCTAAAAATTATTTAATGAAGAGATGAAGAGCAAACATGCCACACTATTAAATAAATTAATTAAAAAACCAATAAAAGATAAACACTTAACAATAGATATCTGGATCAATTTACTATTGACATCATTTATAGTGAAAATACCATTTTTAAGTTTTACTTAACTTTTGTGGCAAAACATCACTTGGAATCATAAACAGTTTTACAACTACAGTTCATCATGAGATGGCTGTTGTGTCACAGAACCATCACATGCTGCAGGAGTTTCAAGTTCTATTTTATATTCACAACGATAAGGTTCAGTGACTGATAACATTTTCGTTTCCAACCCACAATGAATATTTACTGTCGTCATTCTACTTGGGCCATTCCAGCAAGCAATTCCATTAGTATATTTCATCACAGAGTACTTATTGTCCTCTCCAGCCCATTCACCCCAGTTGCCTAATCCAATTTCAGAACCTCCATTTTTGGACTTTTGAGTCACTTTTTGGAATAAACATAACTTATAAACATATTCTTTGTCCTCATACTCAAAACATTGGCCATCAAGTGTTGCATATTCTTGCTGCAAACCATAATCCTTCTCTAGATTTTGTTGGAAATTTCTGATATTAGATTCAATCTCTCTCACTGTGCGCTCTGCATCAGTCCATTGACGCCGAGCCTCCGTTGCTTCATCAACTATCTTTTGCGTCTCCTCATCATATGTTTGGCTAGGCTGATCAGGTTCAATATCTTGATCAACATCATGAGCTAATTCCTCATCAATATTTTCTTCATCAGCATCATGATCATCAGATTCTATATCTCTAGTAGCCTCAGTGTCATCATTATGATCATCACTTTCTTCATGTTCTTCAGGAGATTGGAATACACCTTCTTTCGACATTATTAAAGGCTTTAACAGTGGCCATGTTGTTGTGATAAATGTATCCTTATCCGCACTCTCATTGCCCCCCAAGAAGTATTGTGCTTCTTCTTGGTCGACTTCACCATCATTATTTCTATCGAAAACATTTACAAATTTAACTTCATCTATAGTTAAAATGTTATCATTATTAGTATCATACATTGAGAAATATTCCATAGCCTCTTTGGCAAGGGCAACCCTTTCTTCTTCAGCTTTTCTTTGCCTATCCTTCTCCTCAGCATCTCTGTAAACTTGGAGCACCTCATTTTCTTTCGCTTCCAATTCATTTTTGAGTGCCTCTTTCTCAGACTTTATCTTTAAAGCCTCAACTTTATCCTCCTCTAATTGAGATAACTGCTCTGCCATTTCATTTCTCTTCTTATTACCCTTTTCAATCAAATCTATTCTTAAGTGATTACCAGCTTTATGTAGATCAGCTAAACGTTGCGCTTCAGCCCTAGCTTCTCTTCCCATTTCTTCACAAGTGTTCTTACATAAATTAGATTCCGCATATTCATCGGTTCCATCACAACAATCACAGACTCCATCGTTTACCCGAGAGCTTGGAATGTTTTGCGGTCGATGACCTGCATTTGTGCAATGAAAAATTCCATTTAAGCACGCTGATGTACCCGGCTCATCGCTGCCATCGAAACAATCGCAATAATCATCATTTACGTAGCTAAATGGTATTGTTACAGTTCCATCAAAACATGTAAAATCTTTCGAAGGAGAATAAAGAGATGCTTTAGATAAAGAAACACCGCGAGGTCTCGGTACGTCGGAGAGCACACATATAACTAATGTACAAATAACCAACGTGACCGAGTGGAAATGGTTGGTCCAGAAAGAATTAACCATGTTTAAAACTATAAATTTAATACCGGTTAATGACAATTACTTGCATTGATAAATATAACGTGTAGAAAAATGACAGCCGACCGCTGATGCTGACGATTGACGTTTTACCCGTTTTAGTTATGGTATACATGGAATACAGATCATGAAATCAGAGCGTATAATTATAAAAGACAGAAAATTAATGGTACGCTTTTTTTGCCGGAAATAGACATAACTGAGATTGTTTAGTAACAAATTAAGCAATATGAATTGTGAAGTATATGTGATTTAATACTTTATTCCATTACACATTACATTACATTTAATATAATAGGTTGGAGAAAAAGTTTTTATATGAAAATTCAAAACATTTTTTAATAAAGTTTATTTACATTTAACTAAAGTTCATAGGTGCCATTTTGATCGAAAAATTTCTACCGTCTTGTAGGTAGGGACATGATCCCATTCCTATAGAAATTCTGGGGCTTCTGATTAAAAAACCACGACAAGTGGTTTTGGCAGTCCTCTCGTGATGTTAACCTGACACTTCCTAAAGAATTCTGAAGAGACCGAAACAAGTGGAAATCTGAAGGTGCAAGGTCAGGACTAATGAATGTCTTCAAAACAAAATTACGGAATCGTATGCCACTACACATAGTGAACTTTATTATACACGCCAGGTATAACCTTAGAAGTTCAGGAAAATGCTGTCCTTCATTATTATAACTTTCCTAAAGTGCTATTAAAACAAGTTACAGTATATTTTATTACACTACCTACGTGTCTTGTTTAATGAATTACAATTATTTCCATTTGTAATTCTTAATGAATTGAACAAGATTTGGCACTTTTTTTTGAGCATGATTGATTAAAGTATGATCTAGCACTTTTTTAGCATTTCCGTCGCCAGTCCATCATTTTTTCCATATACAAAACGGCAACACGGCCTGGTGGTATCAACTGTCAGTGACAAGTGACAACTGAGTGACAGTCTGTCACACAGTCTCAGTTGTCACTTGTATAGATATAATTGTAAATAAATGCAATCCAATGCAATTTTTTTCAATTTTCTGTACCTTTAACTCTAAGATTTTACTTAATTATCGTTATGTTAAATATTTGTAAATAATATTATTTTGCCTATCGAATTTTATACTCTTTATACACACTTTTATACACGTCTGTTGCTATCATGAACGCTGAACACATCATTGCCAAGTCTACATTTTCTATGCTGAAAGGAAAAATTGATACGCGCATTTTAGACTCTCTTAATTCAATGGGTATCGAAAAACCAACTGAAATTCAAGCCAAAATTCTACCACATCTCTTGGAGGGGAAAGATCTTATTGGAGCAGCAAAAACAGGAAGTGGGAAGACGTTAGCATTTCTTATTCCCATAATAGAGAACTTAATAAGACTGAAATTAACGAGAAGTCACGGTAAAAGCAATGTCTAATGTATTCCATTTTTTTTAATTAATTATTTAAAGTTGTTATTATTAAACTCGTAAAGTATGTCTCGTATGTTTTAGGTGTAGGTTGCATTATTATATCGCCTACAAGAGAATTGGCATTGCAAACACATGAAGTTTTAAAAAAAATACTATCCATGATTGACTTGTCTCATATGTTATTAGTTGGAGGTGAGAAAAAGTGTAAGGAGTTGAAAGTTGTTACAAAAAGGTAGTCATTTGTTTACTAAGTCTGCAATATCCAGTTTTAAACTTAGCTAAATCAAGTATCAATTTTTCTTTAAGAAAGTTTAGGATCCTATAAATGCATATTTTTATATTTTTTCAAACAACCTTCTGCCTGCGTCTTTGTCTGCATGGAATAGTTTGGATTAATGCTAACTTTAGCCCGCAACTTCATTTATATAATAGGTGAAACTGTAACAAACAAATTGTATTCTGAAATATTTTAATTAATTCTTATTTTTATTTGCATAGTACTTTCTTTTTTTTTTTCTAGTTATTATTCTTATTTCAATATGAAAATAATTTACTAGCTACCCGCCCCGGCTTTGCACTGGTGCAATGCTGAATGTTTGTTTTCGACATGACATTAGAAACCTCTAAAATTAACAGGGTTTTTGTACTATATTATGCACGAATTATATGTATAAACCTTCTTCTTGAATCACTCTATTTATTTAAGAAAACCGCATCAAAAAAATCAAAAATCTCTTGGGTAGTTTTAAAGATCTAAGCATATATAGGGATATACAGTGGGACGACTTTGTTTTATATTATGTAGTGATACTCAAATTATTGGGTGTTTTATTTTTTACTCAAATTATAAGACCCAAATTATACACTATCAATAGCAATAATGTGCAGCAAGAATGTTTTATGGGTGAAAAACAGTACTTTAACACAATTTACTATTTTCGCAGGTGTAAATATCATTGTGAGCACACCAGGCCGTTTGCTGGATCACTTACAAACTACAAAGTTCAATTTCAAAAATCTTAGGTGTTTAGTACTGGATGAAGCTGACAAATTGTTGGAAGCTGGATTTGAAATGCACATAGCAGGAATAATAAAGTTACTTCCAGGTAAACTGGCAAATGTATGCATATTTTTCTATAAAATTTCATAGTAATAACAAAAGGGCTTATTTCTATAATAGTTTTAATATATTCAAAAAAGATTTAACATAGTATTATTCTGTAAAATTTCTACTGATGATTTAAATATTTTTATTTTAGCTACCAGACAAACTGCTTTGTTTAGTGCTACAATAGATGACAAGGTAAAGAATCTTGCAAGACTAGCATTGAACAACAACCCAATCCTTATTTCCATTCAGGATAAGGTTAATACAACAGTTGCAGGTCTCCAACAAGGGTATAATTTATATAACTTATAAACTGTGTAGTATTATCATATTATTACATTATAATTTACAAAAAATATACATTTATAAAAAAAAATTGCTTTACCATTCCTATTCATTCAAAAATATAAATCAACTAATAGCAATAAAATGTTTGATGACTCGCTTATACATATAGTATCTTTAATGTTGAAAATAATGATGGTACATTATTTTCATTTATTGTAGGTATTTTATTTGTCCAATAGAAGAACGGATTTCTTGGTTACACAAGATGCTAAGAAAATCTAAGAAATTAAAAGTGATGGTATTTTTTTCCTCTTGTAAATCAGTGGACTTCCACTATGAATTCTTCAAATTGCTTTGCAAGACTTCATTATTGAGTATTCATGTAAGTTTTACTAAAAGTAATATTTATCCCCAATTGAAAAATAATCTAATTTAAGTCTGCACTATGCATGCATAATACTTTGAGACCTGAATCCGATGACGTCATAGTGGGGTGCTTGCACAGTATACAACATAAGTTTACAACACGTCGGTCTTACGTGTACGTGAGGTAATCCGAGTCTATTCGGAATTTCGGACAATTTTTTGTCTATCGAGTGCGAGTCGGACTCTCGTCAGAAGGGTTCCGCACCATTATCTATAGAAATGGCACAAAATCATGCGTATGGGAGCCCCACATAATTTTTTTTTATTGGTTTTTAGTATTTGTTGTTATAGCGACAACAGAAATAGTCATTTGTGAAAATTTCAACATTCTAACTATCAAGGTTCTAAGATAAAAACCTGGTGATAGACAGACAGCTGAGTTTTAGTAAAAAAGTCCCGTTTTCCCTTTGGATACGGAACCCTAAAAATCATGAACGTGGGGAGGTGAGGCGTGGAGCAAGCGGGGCGTTGCATTCCGCGCGATTTTCACGTTATTGTGCACGCGTAATACCAACAACTATAATGAAAAATTTAAATAATTTCTTATAATTAATTCTTTTTAGGGAAAACAAAGTCAGTTCAAGCGAAAAGAAACTTATAGAAATTTTGTAGAAGCAAAAATGGGTGTTTTATTTTGCACTGATGTTGCAGCTAGGGGTTTAGATATTCCATTTGTTGATTGGGTCGTTCAATTTGATCCACCTACAGATGTAAAGGTATGTTTAATAAGTTAATGAAAAGCAAATAAAAAAAAAACATTGTTTTTATTGTAGATGTAGTAAATTTGAAAATTTTAGGAATATATCCACAGAGTTGGGCGCACAGCAAGAGGTATAAATACAACTGGCAATGCAGTACTATTATTAAGGCCTGAGGAAGAGACATTTATAGATTTTCTGAAGAACAAAAAAATCTATTTGGACAAATACAATTTTGAAAAACCTACCGAAAGAATAATGCTAAAGGTAGTTAATTGTGTAATTTCTTTAATACATATTTTTTAACACCAGCATTATTTTCTGTTCTAATTTTGCATTTTAGCTTCAAGATTTAATAAAAACCAATGGTGTTATGAAAATTCTAGCAAGAAAAGCTTACTTGTCATTTCTGAGATGTTACAAAAAACACTTATTATCCAAATTCTTTGACATTGATAAAATGGATTTAGAGTTGGCGGCGAAAGCTTTTGGATTTTTAGAAACACCGCATGTTGACTTTTGTATCCTTTTAATAACAAGTAAAAGAATAATTCAAATTTAATTTAATATTCGAGTTATACATGTGATATGTGATTTTATTATTAAAATGAATGTTTTGAAATAAAATAAAGTTAACCATATTTTAATCTTCAGTAAATTGTGTGGAATGAATTTATTCTAGTTAAAAGTCCTTAACCCAACTTTACAGTAGGCAACAAGAAGAAATAAATGTTCTAAAATCAGTATTTTATACGGAAGATTATTTAGAAGAATTAAGTAATGTGTAATAATAATTCAATTAAAGGTAATTTCTGTGAAATAAATGTAAAATTTTATTTTTTGTTTTATTAAAGAGATGGATGCCAATACAAGATGAAAGTCAACTAAAGAGTTAAGATCGCTTTAATGTTTATTTAATGTTTCCAATTCATAGTGCTCCCGGCCTTATAAGACGAGTTCGATGAACGTACGTGTGAGTTTAATGGATGCAAGTGGTGGAAGTAAAATCGACCATGTGACTAACTGACAATTTTTTTTAATATATGATTTCAACAATGATAATTTTAAAAACATTGTCGAAATGCAGGCGACACGGGACAATAGGTCCGATTTGAGTTTTCTAGGTACCTATTTCGTATCTTTGTATGTTCGTGGAATGACTGCACTATCTTCAGAAGTTTTGGCGGGCATACAATGCCTAGTAAGAACTGAATAAAGCCCCTTCCTGTTCACAGCATCGAATGCCTTGTTCAAGTCCACGAACGTAACGACTATTTGAGTCTGCTGCTCTCTACACTTTTCTTGTAGTTGACGAGGAAAACACACGAGAGACACCTAAACCCACATTGTGTGCCTCGGGATACACGCGGTCAGCGAGTTTGTCGACGATGCTGTGAAGTGATTTTACTCTTGAGCTCGTCGCGTGTTGCATCACACGGGTTGAGACGGAAGTTTTGAGCAGCACGGCGCTTCTAGTCAATGAGTGGTATCAAGTGCTTTTCATTTTCACGGAACCAGTTTTAATTTTCACCGAGCTTCAGTCTTCTCATAGTCGAAAGCCTCAGCTTCCGGCGTTGCCGATCTGTCCCATATAGCAACTTCGAGACCATCCATCAACCCATGTAGAAACTCGCCACTGCATCCAGGTCCCGAGTGTTAAAAAGGTTAATGCTTTTACGACCCGAGAGCATTGAGGAGTGGATTCTTCTTAGGACAAGCCGCATTTTGAAAAGCCCGCGTATGGAGAATTGCCCGTAGGTCCCCCACTTCGGTAAGGACAAGATCCATTTGGCCAGTGCATAGAGTAACTATGTATACTTGGGCCAGTGTTTTGATCGGAAGTGCCTAAAGGAGACTTTCGGCATCAATTTAATAATTTATATAATGTATTTTGAACTTGTAAAAACTACATCAAAATTGGTTCAGTAGTTTAGTGTCTAAATGTTACTGTAATGTGCAAACAAACACACATTTACATTTGATTTTTTTTGTCGAGCCAACAAATAACATTTTACAGGTATATTAATTTATTGCGGGGTCCGTGCAATGCACATACCTCAGCTCTCACAAACGGCAGTGTTTCATCAGGGTAGTGACTACGTGCTGCGCTCTCGCAAAGACTTCCTTGTTTGTAATCCTGTCTTTCCTTTTCCTTTGTAACGCCCATAATGTTACGAAGCAACGCACGTTATATGCGCTGAGACGACGCTCCTGCTTAGTGTACGAAGATTAACTCATACTCCCGAAGATCGCGCCTAAACGGTGTCGATCTCCGTGTTGAGCCAAACATTGCTCGTTTTAACGGAACCGAGGTTGCCATCCTTGGGCAAGTATGACAGTTTTATTGGCATTGATGGACATGGAAAACAGGTCACATGCATGAGAGCATTTCTCGTATCATCGTAGCTCATCAGCGTAAAGGTCGTCTTGATCACGCTTTGATCTCAATTTGCAAATTTTTCCCGTGAGTCCTCGTGTGGAACTACACCTCATGTTTGGTGTCGCTAAAGGTAGCTTTTAAAAGAGCTACTATTATGCCTGGGACAAACTGAGTAAATTTACGTTTTCCCACTGTTTAACAGCTCGCTCTCGGCCCCACCAGTTGGATCCATAGGAACGACAAGTCAGTAGGTACTGTAATTTATACAATTTAACGGAAGTGAGGTTTTTGTCTGATTGGCTATTAAACAAGACCGCTTGCTTTACTTTTGTCCGGGCTTACCTAGATCCTTCACATTCTGAACCATTCGCGGTTAGCGTTTAGAGGCAGAGTGCAAGCGGATAATGACCCGGTTCAAACAAAACAAAGTGAACGAAGAAAGAAACCGTAATGGTGTCCTAGAATTCGTGGTTCTCTTTTTGGAGACAAAAATACTAAAAACTATCCCTGAAGATTACTCCCCACACGCTCTTTTATGTTAAATTCGTAAGGGATAAACTTCTTAACAATGTCGCAAGAGTAGTAATCGTTAAAAAGTAGTCTGTAATTAATTGTTATAAATATGGCAGTAAGGTGATATTTTATCGTTTATAAATTTTATTCAAATGACAAAACAAGAGCAAACAGTAAAACTTCATTTTATTTCTTAAGTCTCAGCTAACAGCACGCTTATTGTTACCCTTCTGTCTGTATATCTTAGTTTTATCCGCTTTTTTATGTTCTGCATTCAACTTCTTGAAATATCCAAATCCACCTCCGCCTCTCTTCTTTTGTGTAGGCCCCTTGGGAGTCACCTTTAGATCTATCGCGGGTGGCACTGTAAACCCAAATGATTTGCCGACTTTGGGCAAATCAATGGTATCTATGTCGAATATGGTCTTCAGGTGGTGTGAATCATATGCCCTCACATAGCTTTTAAAAGCTTCCTTAGCTGATTGGTTGAGGAAGTAATTTCGAGAAATCAACTTTTCCAACTGTAACAAAATAACCAGATTATTTAACTTGGAACAATTAAAGGAAAATGCTAAAAAAATTTTGGAAAATCAAACACACGCGTATTATATTACACGCGGAATACAAGAGAATAAACAGAATGACTATTAAAAAGGACAATGTTGTGGGTCTTGCAATAAGATTTTTTTGTCGTAGTATTAAGGGGTCAAGAAAAAAATTATCAAAGTATAAGTATTAAATGCGTCACCTGTAATTGAATGTCAGCCACTTTATTCCAAGAAAACTCAAACTCGTTCAATGCAACCTTAGCCTGTTTCAAATATCTCAGGAATCCAAGTTCTTCAGGACGTAAGAAGAGCAGCGCGTGTCCGCTTGTACCGAGACCTCTCGCCGTTCGGCCAACTCGATGAATATATTCCTACAATATTTTTAAATTTTAAATGTGCAGAACATGGTTAACCTTTTGAGTAGGACATAAAAAAAGATTATACTTTTATCATTTATTTTATTTACTTGATCAGTAAATAACAAAAAATGATACTAGAAAGGACATTTTTCATTTATTATATATACAGCGTGTCGTTACCATCGCGACAATAAATGAACACGGTGGTAGGGCCCCGCAGCAGCCTCGGCCGTTGCAGAGTTCGGAAATTTGTATTCAAAAGGTTGTCAACGCATCTGTAACCCTCGGGTGTGGCAGATGCCCATGGGCGGCGAAATTTACTTAATATCAGGTGAACCGTCTGCTCATTTGACAACTTTTCGCATAATAGGGGATAACTTTTCAAAGATTTTTAAATTCTTTAAACATCAATATTTACAGAGTTATAAAATTTTCCAAAACAAAGAATTTTAGAACATCCTTACTTATAAAAGCGTAACGTAAAGTTCATTTGTAAAGGTCACACAGCATATGAATGGGTTGAATGAATTTAAAAGAGACAAAACATACTGTTAGAAGGAGAGGCTTCTAATACGACGCTGTGGCGCGAGTTGCATAGAATGTTACAAATTTTGTTTCTTTTTTACTTAATTAGTTTGTTAGAAAATTTTTTTTTTAATTATGGATTTTGTTTAACGTTAATATTTTTTTAATGATTATTGGCAAGTAGCATTAGACGTGTGTTCATTTATTGTCGCAATGGTAACGACACGCTGTATATTATGTGTTTATAACCTATTATACAGAGGGATAGGAAAATATTACGGAATTTTACTTTCTACAATACATGCCCCTTTACATACATGTTTGTTAAAAAAAATGTGTACATGGTTTTTAGTTGCGAAAATAATGAATGAATAAATACTGGCATAGAGCATTTATGGCGCAAAAGTGAGAGTCAAAAGTCAGTAGAGTAATTCTTAATCTGTATATCAACAAGATTTGATACATTGCAGGACATAAAATTCAAGAGAGGGAAGATTCTTATTTTTAGTGGTCTAAAGTGCTTAAATACCTTAGGGTCATCAGGTGGGTCATATTGAACAATCCAATCAACAGCTGGTATATCAAGACCCCTAGCAGCTACATCTGTACATAGTAAGATGCCACTCTCAGCATTGCAGAATTGGAAGAATGTTGTGGTGCGTTTTGTTTGTTGTTGTTTACCCTATAGTTTCGGAAAAAAGGTTTCAATAAGTTTTTAAAAATTAAAACAGTAAATTGGCGAATTTAACCCTTATTCCTTAGTGACACTCACTAGTAAATTAGGCTTTTGACTGAGTAAAAGATCGGTATTGACCGATTAGTAAAATTATTCATAGAAGATAAGTTACCACAGGCCAAGGCAAACATATGTTTTGGCCGTGTGTGTTAACGTTAAAAGTTTAGACTAACAAAACAATAATAACACAAAAGCAAAAACATTTTGATTGAACAAAATACTCACATGGATAGACATTACTGGAAGATCAATATAATTAAATAACTCATGATGGTATTTAACTGACATACATGTTGATAGGAAAACCATGACCTTCTTTTTCCTATTCTTTTTTAGGAAAGTAAACAGGACCATCATGCGTTTTTCAGAAGGCACAACGATGTATCTGAAAGTTGAGAATATTTTGATTTTAAAAGAGAAATATGTTCTACACATGTTCTTTTTATATAAAAAAAATTAATGCATTGGAAAAATTTCAATTATATTGCTTTCATCATCATCATCATCCTGCCCCTCTGTATGGGGGTGGCTTAACATGTTAACGTAAAATCCAAAACAGAAAATTCCTCAAAACAATATTTGAATAAGTAGTAAGCATACAGGTATGAAAATATGTGGAAAAAGTACGAAAAGATTGTCACCACTGTGCGAATGGAACCCACGTCTTCGGCATTCGCGGCCTGACGCTTTAGCCACTAAGCTAAGTGTACAATTATCTAAAGCATAGCAATTATATAAAGCTAGGTATACAATTGTCTAAAGCAGGGGTGAGCAACCTTTTTAATCAATGAGCCAATTTAAATTTCAAATTTTTTTGGCGGGCCGCACATAATAATTTACGAAACTTTATTTATAATAAATATTAGAATAAAAAAATATAAAATAAAAAAAGTAAAGATTTCATATACAAATTTTAATGCAAGGTATAAACAAACAAGAAAAGAATAGAAAAACGAACAAAAAATATTTCGGTTCAGTATATACTACCATTTTATTATAATTAATTTTATAACAATATATTGGTAGGAGAAATTCGATAAAATAAATTCAATTTTAGAAATTTTTGGCGGGCCGCATAAACATGTTTAAGGGGCCACAAGCGTCCCGCGGGCCGCGCGTTGCTCATCCTTGGTTTAAAGTGATCACAAGAATGAAAATCTGTTTCTTGATTATAATTCATACATACCCCTGTTCTAAAGAATCCACTGTTGCTTGTTCCCTATGATCATCAACACCAACATACACAGGTTCATGTTTAACAGCCAAAGCAGTCAAAGATTCTGTCTTCTTTGTTTGAGTAGCACTAAAAAGCATTGTTTGGCGTCGTTCTGAAATTTTTATTTGTTCATAGAGTTTGTGATGGTTTAATTTGTATATTAAACAGTAATGAACTATGAATAACTCACTTGGTAATAGCCTAATAATTTGTTTCACTTCCTCTTCAAAACCAATTTCTAATATTCTATCAGCTTCATCAATAATCAAGCACTGCAAATTTTTATAAAGAAAATCTGGTGTGTTTTGTAGGTGGTCTAACAGCCTGCCAGGAGTAGCAACAAGTATATTGATACCTAAAAAAATAAGGTGTAAACTTGTTAGTCCATGTCTATTTAAAAAAAAAAAGAAAACAAGTGTGCAATGTCGATATACAGATTGGATCAATAATATTGTAAGCATTTGAGTTTCATTGGTTCTACATTTTATGCAAAATTGATATAGTTTTGATCTACCTACTTTTGATTTAATATTTTTTTTTTGTTATTCTTGTCAATATAACATACCTTTAGAGAGTTTCTGTGCTTCTGTACTTCTGTTAGCACCACCCATTACTAAGCCGTATGTATGGTGATGATACTTCATTAATTCCATAAGTACACCAAATGTTTGCATAGAGAGCTCTCTTGTAGGTGATAGAATGATAACACCAGTACCTTATAATGTAGAAATTAGAAATGTTAGGACTCATTTTTCATTGAAATATATTTTAAATTTTTTTATATACCAATCAGATATCCATTCTGCGTTCATTAAGCAACTCGTTTCATACATCTAAGCGAGTAATATAGCACTAAAACAAATGTACCTCAACAGTATAACCTGGAGATTCAATTTGTTTTCGGCTATCAGTACTCAGCTTTAGATGTATGGAGTAATGTTTTCACATTCGCCTTTTTCGTCATCATTAGCAGGTAAAAATTATCATCAGTTACTTACAATACACTTTACTTTAAATTATTGGTATATTATTTTTAAAAGTCTATCTTTCACAGTAGTCTTACTTTTAATATGAAGTTGTTGTATTGCTATTCTCATCCATCAACATTATCTTTGAATGTTTTAAAGTTTATCAAATAATCTTGCCCATTTTTATCTTTTAGTGTTTCAAGTAAAGTAAGTAACAGCCTATACATATATGAGTTACAGCTGTACAGAGGCCTGCTTTATACAAAGGATATTAGGGCATAGTCTACCATGCGAACCCACCCCAAATTGGTGGACTTCACATATATTCACAATTTTTTTTTATAATTACGAAAAGATGTAAGTTCCCTCAATATGATTTCCTTCACTGCTGAGTTTGCGCTAAGTCAACACTTAAAATAAAAATTTGAATGGAACAAACTCAGGTCTCATGACTATATTGAATTAAAAGTGAGCATACAGACAATGAGCTATTATGGATTTAGTGCCTATAAAAAGAAAAATAAAATATTATTTACCATTCCTGGGCTTAAACTGCAACTTATAAATGAGTTCTATTGCTGGAATAAGGAATGCAAGAGTCTTTCCTGAACCAGTTCTTGCTGCACCAACAAGATCTCTACCTTCCAGGAGTGGTGGAATTGCTTTAGCTTGAATTTCGGTCATTGTTGTAAAACCCATATCTTTGACTCCCATTAGGGTTGCTTCACACACTTTTCCTTCCAGAGATGAGAATTTCTGATCGGATAAAATTCCTAGGCATAAACTTGACCCCGGCACTGCAAAAAAGTATAATTAAAAAACACACTACAATTATTATCCAAGTATTCACAATTTACATCATAAACTTAAAAATTTCACCTATAAATGGGACAAACTTGAGCCACTGACCTATGTGAATCATGGATGTGTAACCTGAGCTACATCCAACTATTTCTCACATATGCCACCTTCTCACATAAAACAACTGATATGAAGTACACCTAGATTCTGAACAATTGTGGTTGTAATTAAATGATCGGGTCCATGCGCATCAATTTTTTTTTAAAAGTTTATGTCCTAGGCTTAACACCATGGCTGGTGACAAGAGAGCTGGTTCTTTTCTCGCTCAAAGGTTAATCATAACTATTCAGTGAGGAAATGCAGCTGGCATTCTTGGCACCATGCCGCTTTTTTAGATAGATTTAATATTGTAAATATTAGATCAATAAACTGTATAATATAAAAAAAAATGATCAGTCAATTTAAATATTAAATTTAAGAGTTCAATAAAAGTGATAAAATTCATATTTACTGTAAAAGAAATCACTACAAAGAAATCACAATCAATGAGTAGTATAGAATCATATTTTAACAAAACTTACGCTGACTGCTTTCATCTTGTTTTTCTTCAACTTTAATCGATTTTTCTTTTACCATCCCATTTTGGCTATTATCTTCATTGAAATCATTTTTCTCCGAAATTAATTCTTCTTTTATTTCACTAGTATTTACTTTATTTTCTTTCTTCTTTTTTTGCTTTTCTTTAAAAAATATTATTATTATTAGTATATTTATCGAAGAAATAACTGAATGTTTGTTTTATCTACTAAATATGTATGTACAATATTTATTGCACATAAACTTTTAAGATAGTATGTATTTTTAGATACATCGTAATTAAGTCGTGGTACATTTTAATTATTTTTTTTGTAATTTATTTAATTTTAATAAAAATAAACTTACTTTTGTGTATATTTGTCTCATCTGACTCTATGTTTTCATGTGGTCTTTTTCTTACAATATTAATTGCATTTTTCTCACCATCTGCACGAAACAAGTAAATTGATTATTTAGATGTGTTGTACAATATAACTAAGTACAATCTATTTAACTGCAATGAGTACTAAAAACATGATTATTATGTAGTTGAGGTTACCCGTGGTAGATTCATTTTCTGTATTTTGAGTTTTTGAAGCAATTAGTTTTAGTTTCTTTTTCTCACGTTTCTTAATTTTCCGTAAAAGTATTTTGTCTGGTGTTGGCATACTTGCGTATTTAAAATAACCACTTTTATTAAAAAAAATGTCGCTCTCAGCTCAGCATGGGCTTATTTATTAAGGCCACAGACTAACTAGAGATGCTTACGCATGATTAAGGCTAAGGTATACCATAGACATAGACATTAGTTAGACATTTACCTTGACCATAGCCATAGTGTAAAGAATAAAGATAAAGATCTTTTAATACTGTACGCATTGGAATTTCTAGAATATATTACATTTTGTTTTAGGTACCAAAGCACAAGTAAACCAAATAACTGCTCTTAAACCACAGATAAAAGTAAGAAATGACAAAATTGAACAAGTTCAAGAAGTTCGAAATTTAGGTGTACTACTTGACAGTCATTTAAGATTTGAAAGTCATGTTATAAATATAGTCCAACAATGTTATTATAGGCTAAAAGTGCTGTACCAAATACGTCAATTCCTAGATATAGACTTGCGGATTCATCTCTGCGAATCTCTAATACTATCAAAATTAAATTACGCAGATACAGTCATCGCTGGGTGCTTACTAGAGCGTACAAAAAAACATATTCAGCGAGTTCAAAATTCCTGTGCTCGTTTTTGCTTTCCAATTCCACGCCGGTCTCATATAACACCATACCTTAATCGAAGCGACATGTTGAATATGCGGTCAAGGCGAGCACTACATTTTGCTTCCTTAATTTTCGGGGTAATAAATAAACAAAGTCCATCATATCTCTATGACAAGTTAAAATTTACACAACGCCAATCACGACTTTGTGACCGTCTTATATGCCCTGTTTTTTTAGTACTGCGGCTTTCCGTGGAAGCTTTCGATACTCCGCCACAAAGTGTTGGAATAACATCCCACCACCTATTAGAAACTCTTCTTCTTTACATATCTTTAAAGCAAAATACAAAAAGTTCCTACTTCATTTGCAAAAGACGGAGTAAAACCGATCAGATCGCTGTCTGCATATATTATAATATATTATATATATATAAAGTTGCACCCAGACAACTCAGCTCTCATAGGTATATAGGCACTCGTATTGTGTTGAGGACATGTTATAGTTTTTGTTAATAATTTTTTTTTTTTTTATACTTTATTTTTGATTTTATTGTTCCTAACTTTTATATTCCTTTTTTATTGTTTTTAGTCTATTTCATTGTTATTTTTGTTGGCTGTATGCATGGAGCTGAACGCCAATCTTACAAGGTATCCGCAGAAAACCAGTGCCGTGGTATTGTTTTGCCAGGGCAATATACTGAGCGGAGACCTTTTTGGTGCATACATTTTTACAATTATAATGTTATTTCTTTTTTTTTTTTCTGTAATGTAATGCGCCGAATAAATATTTCTTCTTCTTCTTCTTCTTCATTTATAAAACTGGTAAACAGGACAGTATGGCCGGGGTTGGTTGGATGTAGAACTTATTTACTCACTGCGCTCACAATTTTTCTTAACAGTGCGAAATTCAAAATGGTTTAAAATAAAGTAACTCCAGATGAGCCAACCACAAAAGGCCTACAAGCAGCAGGTTGAGTATAGCTGGATTAGTTTTTTAAAATTATTAACTGGAACAATGATAATATCAAATGTCATTAGCATCTTGAGCAACCTAAAAAACTTGTTGAAAAATAGCGCTCTATTTAGGTATTGATGCATTATCTGTATCATTCTCGTGTACTAGTTGTATCTCACGCGCTTTGTCTAAAAATCGGATATTGTGGATGTATACATAGATTTTGAACAAGCCAGTAAGCGATTTTCATATATTGTACCAATGTATAGTTTTCATATCTGATACGATTTGTATCGCCCACCCCACTTCTATGTCTTATCTATGGTCGGTCCGTCCATGCATTTGATCAACAATAGTATATAACATTATACATGGATTAATTCACAGAGTTGGATTAATTGTATTTGCATTAGAATTCGTGATAATATTTGTTCTCAAGAGAAGAGAGTGTAAGTGTTCTTTGATTTGTTTTGATAACATTAACTTATTACATACTGTGTAACCTTATCAAATCCCATAACAACCATATAGCAAAGTTAATAAGTGTAAGAAGAATTCTGTACTTGCGAATTTTTATATTAAAGAAGAATTAACTACTATGGTTAGTAAAAGAATAAAGGAAAAGTTCAAAACCCTCAAGGGTAAAGTGTCCAAAGCGACAATAAATGCTATCAAAAATTTTGGCTTCAAGTATATGACGGATATTCAAACTGAGGTGATTCCTAAAGCATTAGATGGACAAGACATAGTAGCGACAGCTAAGACTGGTTCTGGCAAAACTTTAGCATTTTTAATTCCTGTTGTGGAAGCAGTGGCTAAAAGGTTAGAAAAGTTATGTGAAGGTAAATTGGCTGTATTTATGTTTTATTTACTAAAGCCCTGAAATGGTATTCACATAAAAAAAAACAATAACTGGTTTACAGTTTTGTTCAATTGAAAGTAAAAATTGTTGAATACATTATAATTATATTTTTAGGTACCTGCTGCCTTATAATATCTCCAACTAGAGAACTTGCAACACAAACATATCAGGTACTCCAACAGCTTATATCATACCATGAAAAAATTACTGCAGCATTAATTATTGGCGGAGAGAGTAGAAAATTGCAGGAGAACAAGCTTGCTAATGGTAAATTTACTTCCTAAAACCAAATGCACATATTTGCTAACCTTTGAAACTTCAATAGAAATGATTGACATGATTTTTTTTTAGTTTGATATGTCATGTAATAATCCACATTGTGAAGTTTGAAATCAGCATCCGTTTGAAACCTTCTTTGATGTACCAAGTTTACAAAAATTTATGTCTTATTTGTACAGCATATCATGTTATCCATTCCCTGGCATAGCATTCAATAGCATAGGTGACATCGCTAGTTTTCAAATATTTATTGTAAAATTTAAATTGCGAAATTGTGTTTGCTGTGAAGGAAGCACATTACATAACGTCAAGCACTGCTAAAAAGTAATAAAAACAATGTAGACAAGAAGAAAATAGAGATTTTCGTGTGATGAGGGTATCAACAGCTTAGCTTAGTGGCTAGTCTGGGCGCTTAGAAGGCGCAAGTTCAAATACTGGCAGCTGTGAAAAAAATTAGCAGTTTATCTACACTCTTTTAAACATATATTGTTGTGGGGGAGGCCTTTATTCTGCAGTGGACTCAAACAGGCTGAAATGATTATGATGATTATATTTTAGGCGTACATATAGTTGTAGCAACACCAGGAAGATTATTTGATCATATGAGAACTAAAGAATTTGAATACAAACATGTAACTTGTTTGGTGTTGGATGAAGCTGATAAAATTTTTCAGTATGGGTTTGAAGAAGATTTGAAACAAATCATCAGTCGACTCCCAAGTAAGTTTTAAAAATTCTTCAATAATATAATAAGTCTAATTTCCACACATGTTTACAAACAGACACATAAAACCATAGTTAAAATTAAGAATGGAAAATATTTTGAGAAAAATTGCACATGTAATAATTTTAATTCATGTTAACTCTCCTCGTTCAAACGCAATATCATTATACACGGAGGCTTTTCTAAGTGTATCCATTTTTTTAAATTAAATTCTAGACATAAATAATGAATTATAAAAAATGATAAATATTTATATCACTTGTAAGTAATTAATTACATTCATTTGAACTTACCTCAAAAAGTGCATGATTTATATGCAACTCAATTATTTTACGCGCGATCATTCATAACAAACACGCACACAAGTTCGTGCACAGTAAAATTTAGTTATTTATGAATGACTACCGCATTGTCAACACATTCTGTTTTTTAGGGAATAGAATGGCATTTTTTTTGAAAAAAAAAAGTTTGTTTTTTATTTCAATAAACGATTATACTACCAACTCTGAACCTCCTGTGTAAATTTGGGCACTTCTCAAAAAATCTCCTTGTATGTTAATAGTTTTTATACTTTTTAATGATTTTATTTTGGTAGGATTTCGAATTAAATTTGCTAAACTTTAAAATTAGAATAATTAAAATTTTGGTTTAATTTTTCAGAAGATAGACAGACAATGTTATTTAGTGCAACACATACAGAAACTACTGATGCATTAATAAAGTACATGAGAAATGATTTACTCTCAATAAATACTAATGAAGGCAATGAGAAGGCAACTGTTGATGGTTTAAAGCAGGGGTAATGCTTGTTTATTTTGTTGTTTGTTACCAAAAAAAAAAAAATTATTGTGATGCAAAAATATTAACTTAATGTGTTTTTGTTCATTAATATTATAAACTTAATGCTTGAAGTCATGCAAAAGCTATATATTTTGCCTTTATATTTTCAGTTATGTGGTTTGTGATACTGAGCATCGTCTTAGTTGGTTGTATAAGTTATTGAAGAAGACACAAAACCTCAAAGTTATGGTATTCTTTTCAAGTTGTAAGTCAGTTATGTTTCATCACACATTCTTCAGCAGTTATTGCAACTTATCAGTGCTATGTATTCATGTGAGTCTAATTTGAATGTAAATATTAACATGAAATACCTTAAATCTTAATCTTTTAATAAATATTTTTATATATTTTAATTAGTTAATTCCAACATATTAATTTCATTTTTGTAGGGAAAAATGAACCAATCTGATAGAACTGCAACTATGACAGAATTTTATGAGACAGAGAAGATTGCATTATTTTGCACAGATCTAGCAGCCAGAGGACTAGACATACCTGCTGTTGATTGGATAGTTCAATTTGACCCACCTGCTGATTCCAATGTATGAATAATATTTTACACAGCTTTTATATATATACACATGAGTTCAATGCAAGAGGTTTAATGTTCTGTATAAAATCAGTTTAAATTTAAAAATTATGTTTTACAAATTTTTGGAATATTTGTTTTAAAAAAACTAATTACTACACATTTGTAGTTAATAATTTTCCAAATACAGAATGTCATAAATATTATACAGATTAAGTTAAATATTAATTCTAGGAGTATATTCATAGAGTTGGAAGAACAGCACGAGGTTTGGGAGCAGAAGGACAGGCGGTATTACTACTGAGGCCAGAGGAGAAAGAGTTCATAAATTATTTAAAGGAAGCCAAAATATATTTGGATAAATATGAGGTTTGGGATAAATTGAGTAATCTTCAAAGTAAGGTGAGCCCTTCATTATTTAACCTTCTAGTAACTGTTTAACTGCTATACTGATAGGATAGTAGTAAAGATAAATGATAGAAATGTTGATGCAATCATTGGTTTTTTATATTTTAGATGAACAAAAACAGTAAATCAGTTGATGAATTATCCATTTAGTTCATTTTTTGTTTAAAAAAATTAAAAATTACTAATTCTATTGATAAGTGTAACATTGTGATGAGGACTTGTGGGCAAGGTTCAGCTCCCAATGCCATGCAACATGCAAATTGACTTAATTTAGAAAACAAATTAAATATATCGATATGGTAATACCTTAATTAAAAACTTAAAAATATTTAATTGTATTTATTATTAATGTTTAAAAAAATTATTATACTTATTTGACATTCTATAGCTGAACAAAGCATTTGAAGATCCACAATTTGGCATGTTAGCCAAAGAAGCATTTGAAGGTTATATAAGAGCATTTGAGGTGAAAAAATTAAAACATATATTTAATTTGTTAACAATGGATATGAATGCTGTTGCTAAATCACTAGGGTTAAGAGAAAAGCCTGACGTAGATATACGTAAGTGTAATCAGTAATGTTTCCAATATTCAATTGTTTAGAAATTCTATATTAGTTATTTGCATTTTTTTAAATTAGTTTAAATGCTTCTAAGTTATCATTTTGTTATAACATATTGTGCATTAAAGCGCTTTATTTGAAAAAATATATGGATACTGTAACCATTTTCACTTAATAAAAATATTATTTTACTTAATGAATTGACATAATATTGCTACAAAAATGTTTACAGGTGTTGGGTTTAGCAAGAAGCACAGACCACGTAAAAGAAAAGCAGCACTTCTTACCACAACTGGTTTTTTAGAATCTACAAAGCATTTGAAAACTTAACATTGTTTTATATAAGGAAATATGTTATTACATTAAGGGTCTGTTTCACAATGTCTGAATAAAGTGTTGGATAACTAAGTGACACATAAATTAACTGCCACATAAAACTTCCTGTTAAAATAGTTTGCGTTTCACAAACGTCTTACCATTAAGTTTATGTGTCAGTTTGTTACTTGTAAGATAGAGATGGCAACGTCACATTTAGGCGTTTCGATTAAGGGGAAATGTCAGAACATACATTTTTTTTAATTTAATCACTCTTGAAAGCATTCATAATACATTTTTTTTTGCATTATTTTGTATTACGTATTTATATACCTGAAATACATACTCTTAAATAATTATAATGATACAAAAACATTTTTAGATTAATTGCAATATTGTGCAACACCACACATGCTACAATTACAGACTGGACACGAGACGAATGTATATTATATAGGAAACCTATTTTTACGCGTAAGTCCGCTCCAGAAGATTCCTAACTCTTATTCGTTATAGAGATTAGCGATATGCGACTCGAGTTATTTGACTCGAGTAACTCGAGTCAAACCTTAAACGAGTCAACTCGAGTTCAGTTTTAAGCAAGTCGAATCAACTCGGTCGTCCGTACGCAAGCCGGACGTTATACGCGGCGGCCTCACGAGTTGTTCCGAGTTACACACGCGGCTCGCGCGCGCGGTTCGTTAGGCGTTGCAACTCGCATCAACTCGAGTAAAATGTAAAGTTACGTTTCACGCGCGCGCGCCGTTCGTAAGCTTACTCGCATCAACTCGAATAGAACTCGGGTTGAGTCGGGCTCGTTCGGCTAGGATTGCTTAGGATTGGTTCGGAAACGGAATTGCGCAAATGATAGACCGCTTTAAAAGTTTATTTTGTTTTTTGGTTGACATTTTTTTATTTGATTTTATTAGTTGGCCGTTGGCGATCCGCGTGCGAACTGACATTTTTGATTTGTTAGTGATCTGTTTTGTTTTGTTTGTAACGACGTCAAATAACAGAAGTGTGGCGTGGGAATTCTTTGCTATAAAAACAGAAACTTTTTTTAACTTTATTTTCGATAAGCAATCGACTATGTACAATTACATTTTATAAGTACGACTTTGAGGCGATAGATGGCGGTATTCTTTTGTCATATTTTCTTAAACACGATGTTGAGATCTGCGCTGGAATAATATACACCTTTGTTGATTGATCGTCGAAAAAAAAACCCCGTTAAACTCTTGGACAGCCCAGTACCATGGGTTAATAAAGTCAAGTATCTAGGCGTCGTCCTCGACTCCCAGCTTAAATTCACCCAGCACGTGACCCAGGTCAGGAACCGGGCGGCCTTCGTACTCGGTCGCCTCTACCCGCTCCTCAATAAAACGTCAAAAAATGTCCCTTCGGAACAAGGTGACCTTATATAAGGCAGTAGTTCGCCCTATCATGACGTACGCGAGCCCCGTCTTCGCTCACATTGCTCCGAAGCAAATACACCGGCTTCAGGTGATTCAAAATCGATTCTTGCGCAGAGCCACGGGAGCACCCTGGTTCATGCGCGACCTTCATGTCGATCTAGAATTGCCCACCATCGCGCAATTCCTGAAGTCGGCGTCGCGCCGATATTTCGATTCCGCCGGCGCGCATCCCAACCCACTTATCGTAGGTGCCGTCACCTACAGGCCCTTGCCGCTAAATATTTTCCGCCGTATTTAAAGACATCGTTAATACCGTAATTCGTATTTAAATTACTTAACTGCGCGCTTTGTCGCCCGTTACGGCTCAAGGCTAAACAAAACAATAGAAATATAATAATATCGTTGTAGTAATCTTTGATACCATGATTAGTATTTAATTAAAACGGATCTTATTTGAATCGTGATAAGATTCAAAATTACTTAACTTATTCATAATATCTGTTTAAAAATCTGATATTGTGCCTTGCTTGCCGTACTGCTCTAACTAGTGTAATATTTGTATCTCACGCGCTTTGTCGCTCGATATCTGATATCGTGAATTGCTTGCCGTCCCGCTCTAACTAGTGAGTATTTATATCTCACGCGCTTTGTCGCTCGATATCTGATATCGTGCATTGCTTGCCGTCCCGCTCTAACTAGTGAGTATTTGTATCTCACGCGCTTTGTCTCTCGAAATCTGTTTAAAAATCAGATATTGTGGTAAACGCATATGATATCGCGATTCGTGTCGGTATAGCGAGCGAGCACGGTACATCAGATTTCGGAAATCAGATATTGTAAAATACATAGATATTGAACGAGCCAGTAAGCGATATTCGGATATTGTACTAATATCTAGTTTTCATATCTGATACGATTTGTATCGCCCACTTCTACTTTATTTGCCAGATACGCTTAACAGAAGATTGTGAAACGCAAACGATGACTTTATTCGTCAGATAAGTGGCAAGTAGCTTATTCGGGACTTTATTTGGACATTGTGAAACAGACCCTAAGACAATTAAAACCAATAATAAATTTACAATTATGGATGTATATTTTTTATTGTAAATTATTTGAATATTTCTATTTTTTTACAATTAGTATAAAAATATATGTTATGACTAGAAACAGATGGTACTTTTACAAAACAAAAACAACCATTATTAGCAGTTAATATTATATTTCATCCACCTGCTTTACTTTGGGCTTTTATATATAATTGTGTACTAATGAGAATAAATTTAAATAAGAATTCCCATAATCGAAATAAGGTTTATTGTTCCCTCATAAAACTACATTCTTTTCGTAAAAAAATTTTGATTCCATAAATAAAAATATTCAATTAATTAGAATGCACGGCATCACTAAATATGAAAGATTTCATTGAATGCTTTTACAATAAGTTAGGATTAGTAATCTAAGTAAGCCATTGCTTCCCATTACATGTTTATACAAATTTTATTTCATCGAAATATATTATTTACAAAAAGTACAACTATCAGAGTTATCCTAATGTGTTTAATTACAACTTTTTTTAGTGGAGATATATAGGAACTTTACAATTTACATGTCTAGTTTATAGCTAAATCAACTTTCAGTTACAATTAGCAACACATACTTTATACATGTACAATAGTTATGTTGAAATGTGTAAAGGTAAAGACAATAAACAACTAAATACATAATTATTTCAAAGTATCCAAATATAAATTCTCAAGCTGATTAAAGTGAAATTGTTGGTAATTATATCTGAAAGATATTAAAACTACATTTTTCACTTTGGAGATACATTCATTTCATAAATATTATTTCTTGCAAGTTTCTCATAACAATCTTCATGGTTGTGTTGATGGTTTACTGCATATATCATGGAATCTATTGTTTCTACAGTAGCTGGACATCGGTTAAGAGAGAAATACTGGACACAACGCCAAGAAGTTTTTCCATGTGTTGTTGAATGTTTGGTATACACAAAGTTCATATGCACTAATTGTTTATGTCCTTTTCTGCTGTAAATGTATTTATATCGAACAGGTAATGGTTGATTTTCGCATGATCCATTCATAACTAGGGACAGTGCGCCTGTAAAGCAAAATAAATTCTATTATAGTAGTGATATAATTTATAGTAATACTTTGGCTCCAAAATGATAGTGGGATAAGAAAATGAATTAACATTTCATAAAAATCATTTAATTAAATATAGATATTAAACACATTTACTTGTTAATCAAGTACAATGTAACATCACACAAATGAATACAAAAATATATCATGGTTTCAACCTTACACTAAATATAGAATACACAAGATTAAGTTTTAGATCACAAAGCCAAAACATAGAAGCAAAAATGCAGGAATGTATAAAATAATTTGGCTTCATTAATTTCCAAGCCTTTTATAGAGATCATAATTATTAGACAACACTTCACAAAACATAAGAAACCTATCTAGAAATGCTTTTAAGTAATTTCATAAGTTTATGTGTATTATACACTTATTTAAATACAATAAATAGACTAGAATATGAGCAATAAAAAGTCTTAAAATATATGGCAGAGGATTGATGGCACAATAAGAGTTTTATGTGTTTATTAAAATATGTTTCTATGAGAAGAAAGCACTTCAGCTTTTCTAGTGTAAATTGGCACTTGAATGCATTTTACCACTATCACAGAATCAAATATCATTTACAACAAATTAATGGTTAATGAAATGAGATTAAACTTATGTATATATAAATACTATGAATTTTATGTTTCAATAACTGTATTTAATTTGATAAATAATCTCCAGGATTTTTATTCCTAATTTATAATAGGAATTGAAATTTGGTCCCAATTTCCTCAGAATCTATGATTCACTTTTTATTTTTATGGTGCTCTAACCAAATATCACTTCTTATTGTATTTAAAATTATGTTATAGCTATGCTTATAATATTCTTATTAACTCTTTCAAGAGTTTTTGAATATTATGTCATGATTTCCTCTCAATTAAGTAGCAAAATAATCTCCTTGTAATTGTGATACTTTAAAGACATCATTAAAATGAATTTCAAAGCATGGAGACTTGCAAAATGGCAATTCACAAGCACTACACATGAATCTAGTATCTCGTCTCTTTCCTATCTTCCAACAGAGTCTACAGGAACGTTGAGGATATTTCTTCTTTCCATCTTCTTTCTGTGGTATAGTGATCAGGCGGTGTTCTAATGTATGTCTTGGGAATTCTTCATTAGTGTTAAGCCTTAACATTGCATTAGTCACCTTACCATTGACTAAGTTTTTAAGGTCCAAAAATAATGAGTTCAAACTTGTGGGATCTGAAATCACGATGGGCATTTTCATTACATTTGCTATAAATCAATAAATAATGTGAGCAAAGATTTAAAAATGTTGAAAATGCCATCGTGTTTACAAAAGTGTGAAATGAAGTGTTTGCAAAAAAAAAATATGCAACATAGTCAATTACAAATCAACAAAGGATTGCATTTTCAACACAATCTTTAATCCCATTACTTACAAAAGCTATGCACAAAGGTAATAGCCAAATAAATAATAAAAGTTATTACATTTATGAAAAAAAATATGGAATGAAAATAGCAGTAACACACAAAAAGAAATTGGCCTTTTCTAAATAAAGAATGAAAGTAATTTAGTGATGAATATGCATATAATAGATGGAATGGATGTATTCAAATATAGAACAGAAAAAAAATTACATACAAGCACTACATAGAACTAATGTGCACAGTAAAAAGTTAGTTATGAAAAATACTCACTGTCTTGTGGGGACTGATAGTCTATGGCAACAGATGTATTATTCTTGCCATCTCTACATGTTTCATAACTCTTTGGAGTGGTACAAACAGCAGGATCGGTGACAACTATGTCTATATCTTCACATTCTGCCTTTAATTCTAGTGAATTAGAAGTCACTGTTTGGTCTTTGCAATTATCATTTATCTCTTTGTCTATACTGTTCTTATGGATGGTTGTGTTGAGCGAAGGAGTTATATCAACTGGGCCCTCATTATAAGCATGCCTTAAATTATCATAATTACTACTTTGAAGCAAATGATTATTAATTTTATTGTAGACTACCTTATCATTTATTTTAGGGCGTTTTTCAGAGTTTAAAATATCAGAGTAATAAGTCTTTTGAAGAAACTCTTCAGATTTTCTTTTTAAATTACTAAGTCTATGAAGTTTTTCTATGAACTGTCTTTGTTTAAGTAACTCTAGCTCATTATTTTCTGCTAATTCATTAGTACTGTTGTCAAAGTTATCAGAAGTGCATGACACTGCTTCAGGACTGTCATTATGGCAATTGAAATCTTGCTGTGATAGTTCCTTTGCTTTTCCATTATCTTCTTCTTCTGTCTATAATTAAAAAATTTACATGTTAGAATTACTAGATATATAATTTATGGTGTGTGAAATATTGGACTTAAAGCAAACATATTATCTTTTTATATATATAATTCTTCAATGTGTGTATGTTACTGAACTCCTAAACAGCTGAACCGATTTTAATGAAATTTTTTGTGACTTTAGTTTGATTTGAGAATGGTTTAGATTCACAATTCGGTCCACTACAATTTTTTTATTTATAAATGGTCGAATTTAACTCTTATATACAGGCCAATGTCTGTACGGTCCGCTAGTATCATATAAACTTTTATTCATAAACATATAAAGTAATAACATATAAGTATAAATTTTATGTTTGATCACTGTCTCACATTTATACCAAGACTCCAGTATCAGCTCATTTAAAAAGAACATAACATAAGCTGTTTATTTCCAAAAAATGTGAGATAGATAAAAATATAAAGAAACCAATGTATGAATTGTATTTATAAAAATCTTCCCAGAAACGACATTGATGAAAATCTTTATCACTTACGGTTGGTTTCAATATTCTGTCTATAGATAGTTTTGGTTAATAGCAATTGGTATTGGACATTAACTCCATAATATGTAATTCTATCTCCAGTAACTAAATCTCTCTATGGATAGAATGATGTATGTTCCAAAAATTTAAACATCTATGTTTGGAGGATATTGAATGTTAGTATAGAATAATAAGCTGTAATATTCTCCAATGTGGTTTAATTAAATAACAATAAAATACTAATTTGAAATGAGACTATTTTTACTTAGCCCAAATACTACCATTATATGAGAGTACTTGGAAATTTAAATTGAAAGCACGAAAGCCGAAAAAAGAATTTAAATAAGCCAGTAAAAGAATTTCACTTAATAAGGTGTAATGTTTCCTTAAATAAATTAAATTTTTGTCTTTTACATATACTCCTGTCATTAGGATATAAAACCAAATTTGAAATAAGATAGATTTTAAGTCCCTACATAAAAAATTTTACAAACAGAAATTATTACCTAACATAAATAATCTTTAAAATTCCAATTTATTACCAAGTAAATCTGACATATATCATGTCAATAGAAAATATGTTTAATTATTAAAATTTGCATGTTCAACCTCACCTCTTTATTTGTTAAACCCTTAATTTGCAAAACTTCAGCTGTACCTATAAAACTGGTAAGATCTTCTCTTTTAACACTGACTTCTCCATGATACATAAACTGTAACAGGTCCTTCATGGCTTTGTGAGTGACATCTCTTAATACAACTGAAAGCACAAAAATATTCCACGATTATAAGTAGAAATCGCTTAAAATTCTATTTGTTCTGTTTTGAAGAAATGAGAACGTAAATAATTACCTATAGGATGTTGACAGGGGTTCATCTGAAACATTTTCTTGAAATAAGGTGAACATATTGATAAAATCACTTTATGCGCTTGTAGTAAATGTCCGTCAACTGCTATTGTTACATCAACAAATTCACCTTTTCCAAGTAAACCGGCGAAACCTCTGCTTAAATTTCCGTGAAAATTGTTCCAAGATAATGAGAACTGTTGATCCATCTCTAGATGATTTTAAATTTCATCTATAAATGAAAATAAAATTAGTGATTGACATTTTTTATACATAGTAGCACATTATTTCACACTTACTTTAACACAAATATATTATCGTAAAAAAGTATGTTTTCCTTCTGTTACAGATTTATGATGAAATATGACAGCTGTAAGCGGCGCGTCCTATACAGGGCTGGATTTAAGTATGAAGTATGAAACTATGAATTATGATGAAAAAGATAGTACGAAAAAGTAAAAGGATACTACTATTTGTAAAAAAATTATAGTACGCTTTAAAATTGTGATTTTAACAGTTTAATTTACTCCTTTTCCAAGTTTATCAATTCTTCAATATTAGTTTCATACTTACCTTAAAATTTAATCTTATTAACATGTCCTGAATAGGAATAAAAAAATCAAACCCACTTTTGTTACCATCTTTGGTAGCGTCACAAGTGACAAGATAATAAAATGAAGTCTTTGGATTTTGTTTATTTCTAAACTTAGTTTAGGAAACAATAAATTAGTCGTATTATTCTGTGACCTCTATTACCTAGCCCACAGTGCAATATGCAAAGTATCGAAATAAAAAGCATATTTAACGGGAAATCTCCGTAAATAGTTCATAGATAAAGATTATCTACAATCCGTGGTAATAATTGAAAGTGACATTGACATGTGGTAATATCCACTTTGTACTAAGGGTAAAAAAAGGTGAAGTAAAGTAGTAATAAAATAAGTAAAGTTTTTTTTTGTTATTATTTCGAAAATATGCAGGTTTCTTCACGATATTTTCCTTCACTGCTGAGCACGTGATAATTCGGCACTTAAAATTAACAATTTCATTGGTGCCAGCGCCCGGACACTGAGCTATCAAGGCTCTTAGTGGGTCCGATTCCCACTACTGGAAAATATTGTGTGATGACATAGTATTTTTCCAGTGTCATATATATATATAATTAAACATATACCTTTAGTATGTGCGTAGATTCGGAGGCGAAAAATCGATCTAGCTAGATTTAATTTTTAGAAAATGTTCTTTTATCCCTGTTTTCAGGGAATGAAAAATATCATTCGAATATGACGGTAAATTTCCCCGAAAAAAAATGTTATAATAACTCGGTCGGTAATAGGGCGACCCCGAAGGTTAGGAAGTCAGGTTAGGAAGGAGGAAAGGACCCCGAAGGACTAAAAAAAGGTTTTTTTTGGTAATCGTGTATTATGTATTTATTTACAAAAGAAAAGTATATTTAAGTAAGTGTATCATTTCAACCATTACATAGTTTGGGACTAGAGAACGTTGTGTAAAAAATGTTTCTGAAAAAATATTAAGGTACTCTCATACAACAGACATCGATTTAATGCACCTCAGATCGAACGACACGATAGTGAAACGTACAATCAATTTTTCAGTATAGATATGTATGCGGATACTTGACGTCATAATACTGAATCGGTAGAACAAAGACATCCATCTTCGGACATATTGATGATATTGATATGAACCAATGGTAATCTTGTCCTCATCTGACATAGGAAGTTCGAGAGATATACGAGGGGAGGTAAAAAAGTTCGCGGAATAAGGGGAATAGGGGGTGAAATTGAATATCAAATTATTTGTCCCTTCAATATTAAACATTACATTAATAAATTTCTCAGATCAATGGAATAACTAGCTGCTGCCCGCAACTAAGTCTGCGTAGAATAAGCTTAAGGCGTAACATTCAGACAGAATGACAGATGTACATAAAAATATGTATATAAATTATAGCCTATGTTTTATTCTGATGTATAAGCTTTTTTATTGTAAAGTTTCATTAAAATCCATTCAGTAGTATTTGCGTGAAAGAGTAACAAACATCCAACCATACATACATACAAACTTTCGCATTTATAATATTAGTAAGAATTTGTTTGTACCTTACCTTTTTACCTTACCTTTTTACCATCGAAAAAAATGATTTGATTTGGTGGCAAAATTGCTGACTTGACTTATTCATCGTCGTAAAATTTTTGTCCACAGAGTCCTTTATTTAATTTTGGAAATAAATAATAATCACTAGTAAGGTAGGTGTTGCAGTTGTTCGAAGCCGATTTGATGAACAGCAGCAGTCGCAACTCAACTTGTGTGCACGGATGCGTTGTCATGCAAATGCATGCCTTTTCCCAATTTTCCTCTTCTTTTTCCTTGATAGATTTCTTTAAGCATTCTAATAAGGAAGCGTAGTATTGGCCCGTTATTGTGACACCTCGTTCTTTATAACCAATCAGTTAGATACTTTTTGAATCCCAAAAGATCGTCGCTATGATTTTCCAAGCCGATTGCGACACCCTGTACTTTTTTATACCACTACATCGACTCCTATTTTGATTCAGGGTCATAGTGGTGAATCCAAGTTTCATGACCAGTAAAGATCAGAGCCATAACTTATTCTTTATTCTCTCCACAGGGCTCCAAAACTGGCGAGACACAACGTCTTTGGAGCGGTCTAAGCATTCTCGGAATCCATCTTACTGACCTTAGTCATCCCAAGATGATCATGTAGGTAAAATGGTCGTTTTAGATACTCCAACCATTGCTGCTAGCTGCTTCTTCTTCAGTCGCCCGACTGAAGAAGAAGCAGCTAGCCCCGTCTTCTATACAATTTTTTCTACTTTCTCGATGATTTCTGGAGTGGTTGCCTCAATTGACCGTCCGGAGCGATGGTCATGAGCTTGTTCACCGGTCGATAACTCAATGGTTCACGACCCGATTTGGTTCAAATTTGGTATTTATGCCCTTAATGAGTAGTTCTACTAGTGACTACCTGGATTAATTAAACTAACCCTACCAACCCCTTATTTCCGCGACGTGAATAGGCTTTTTCACTGCCTTGTATTTCTTGTCGGTTTCCTTTCAATAGAAAAGTTTTATTTTAATTGCTGCTGAATTAGCTTTTTATATATATTTTTATCCTTAAAATACTGACTTCAATGCATAAAATTGAAGTTATTTATTTTACCTGATAAATCTTGATTTTCCGTTTTAATATTTTAGGCAAGTAACGAAGATTTTAGTTTGTAGACTAATCAGAATTTGTAGTGGTTTATAGCTTATTTTATTCTTGTATTTTATTTCATCTTACTCTTATATGACTTGCCACTGATGACGCAATAGTCTAGGACATCTACATTGAGTTGTGTTGTGGGTTCGTTTCTCTATCACCTTTTTAGGGGTCATTTTTCATTTAGGACATTGCTTTGGTGCTGAACCAGGATCTAACCAACTTACTTTCGCGCTTTCGATTGTCAAACAGAATCCATTTTTCGTCTCACGTAACACACGTAACATCTCTCTTTTGGAGGATATTGATTGTATTTTTTTCGACCGCGTTTACACAAAGTAGAATGCCGTAAGGCCTTATACTGCGGAAATAACTAAAATATAACAAAGGAGCCGTATCTATATCAGTTGGAGTCTACTCGCCTGCTTTTTTTAATATGGGGACCCCATTACAGTTTGGTATCTGTAGTTATTCTAAGGAATACAGTCGATTCAATAGAGTCTACCACTTCCCCATATAAAAGTACATTAGTTTTTACGTTTTGTTAAGTCACAAAATATACCAAAGGCAACCTGTGACTCTTTCCAGGCTTCAAAAATATTTTTAACAAACTGGATACCCGCTAGTGTTGCTGAGTGACTCCGAATAAATTCATATTGTTTGTTATGCCATAAATTATGTGCACCAATATGCAGCAAACATTTATTTCTTTTTCTATAATTTTTTCAAAAAATTTACTAAGAGTTGGATGAACCGAGATAGGTTAATAATTATTGGGGGTCCGAAGTACTACCAGATTTAAACACTGGAATGATTTTCAGGAATTTCGTCACGTTTAATGAAAATATTAAAAATGGTTACGATATAGGTAAGATGAGACTGCATCAAAAATTACTTTATAGTAATTTTTAACTTAATTTATTATTAACTTAATAGGGTTATAAGGATTTAAAACTTTAAACAAGCGTGAATAATTTCCGCATCTCCAACAAAGATACTAAACCGCTTAGTGAGTTTAACAGTTTTATTTGAGGTATCGTTTAATGCACACGCACGAGATAATTTTGTTAAAGAAAATGGGGAATGAATATTTAATTTGAAATGATTTTATGTAACAGCGCAAATATTATCTCTTTTGGATTTTGCAATTTATTCTACCGTGTACGAGTACATCCAACAATCCAATGGCCAAGCAAGCACGATTGATCTGCACCGTATGTGAAGTTGTTTTTGTTTTTATTTCCTGGTTTACGATTTTTATTATTTTGCTCAATCACAGCGGTAAGATTGAATATATGTCTACACTGTAATGTTTAACATTAAATTGGTTTTAAAACCAATAACATGGAGTTACAACCAATATCCATTTAAAATTGAATTATATCTTTAACTTAATCCATACTAATGTTATAAATGCGAAAGTAACTCTGTCTGTCTGTCTCGCTTTCACGCCGAAACTACTGAACCGATTTAACTGAAATTTGGTACACAGATCTCTTAGGCTCTTAGGCTATAGGTTTTTAATTGCAAAAAATTGTTATTGTAAGGGTTCTTAAAGGTGATAGATATTTATCTAAGGGCTTCAACGCGAGCGAAGCTGCGGGCGAAAAGCTAGTATTATACAAAACTGTCTCAAAATATTTCGCCGCTTCGGGCTTCCAGGGTTTCGCAGGGCGAAAATCGACTTCCTATCTACCTACTTTGTAAATGCATTTGTAGCAACGCTTTAGCGTTATCAAGTGTGATTTATTTTGAGCAATCACATTTTCTCAATTTACATTT